GAGGTTGATGTGTGGGTGTGATGCTGAGTGGGTCAGCGGAAATCCCACAGGTGACAAAGATGGCCAGTTTTGTGCATGGTCACCGTGCGCTAGAGGCTGTAACAGCTGTGGCGAGACCCTGAGGGTGTGCCCCCCACTGCTTAGCTGCCTGCTCTCCCACCCTCCTCCTCCCCTGCGGCTTCACCCCACTGCAGTGGGACAGCCACTGGTGCAGGGTTGTCACGTCATGTTGGTCCGCACACCTCACAGTGACCCTGTGACCCTGGCAGCACCTGCCTGTTTGGCACCACACTCACAGCCTCCTCTCGCAGCCCACCGTGCCACCAGGGCTCCTGTCATGGCATTCTGTAGGAGGGGCACAGGCCCAGTGGACGGGGGTGTCTGGGGTCCTGGTGGTGATCATCACAGAGCACAGTGTTGGAGATGGGGCCAGACGGCCACTGTACAAGGTCCCCCATGCTGTGTCCGGGACTCCTTACGCCCTATTACCTTTCTGTTAGCATTCAAGTGTTTGACCACTGCACCACCAGGTGTCTGAACACAAAGTTGTCTTGTGGCTATTATCATGGCGTTTCTGTCCTTGGCGGTCGCCACCCACGCCAGCCGGACGCCAGGGCCCGTGCCTCGTGGTGATTCAGCTGACCATGCTCACCTGCATGTCCCCCTCCAAGTGGCTGGTAGTGGAGCTGGGTGAGAATCGGAGCACTGCAGGGGACACCCAGCCCCTCCCACAGTCACGCTTGTGTGCGGCTGTGCCCCTTGCAGCTCTGCAGAGAGGACCCATCAGCTTTCAGTTCTGAGGCTGCTCTGGCCTGGCTGTGAGGGTAGGTTCCCACCAGGCCACCCGACCTCTGCTCCTGGTGACCCCCATCAAAAGCTATTTTATTCCACCCGACCTGTCACTTCTAACCTGCCCCTCTCCTCATTTTCATGCATCTTCTATTATATCTTTAAATTCTGGGTTCATCAAGATTTTATGTGTGCATATAAACCAGGGATGGAGTGTACACGAGATCTGTTTCAAAAGTACCAACTATAAGGTACATTTAAAAAAATAATTCCCTGTTTTAAAATGTAGCTGCATTTCACTTCTCCCAGGTGTAAACTTAATCTGCTTTTCTTGGAAAGAGTTTGTAAAACCATGACTAGTGGTGGGAGGCTGTGTCTTTCTTAAAGGAATTCCAATTTTGCTTTTATAAAAAAGGTGCATTGACCTTGACTCTGTTGTGTTGTCCACTTGATGCCATGTTCATTCGTTTCTACTTCACAAAATAACTGACTCCTCTCTGAACTGCTCTGAGAGGATATCTTGGAGTTCCTGACCATTTCAGAAGGGCTGCCCTCAGCTGCTTGTGCCTCCGAGAGCGGGGGTGGCATGTCCGTCCTGGGAGCCGCCTGAGTCTCCTGCAGGGAAATCTCAGGGAACCAGCTGCCTAGCTGTCTGAATTTTCATGTTATTTTATGACCACCGGGTACATTTTATGACTAGATAGTAAATCTTATATTTTATGACTAGATATTCTTTTATTTTTAACAACCTTTCCAATAGTCTTTGTTTTCCACGCTGGGGAAAGCAAAGATACACCAAAACAATTTCATTCATCAGGTCTGGTTAGCCCTAAACTCCAAATAAATGAGAAGCAAAAAAAGACACGGAAAGTAAAACACTTCTCAAAAGCAAGTCCTTAGTGAACTATCAATTTGTCTGACACATCTGCATTTCTGATCTTTTGCTCTGTCCTCTGCTACCATGCGGCTCAGCTGCTCTGAGGCCATGGGAGTAAAGTGCTGGCCTGCTCGCCAAAAGGTCAGAGGTTTGAATCCACTAGCTGCTCCATGGGAGAAATATTTTGTGAAGATTTGTGACCTCAGAAGCCCAGTGGGGTCCACCTTGATCCAAACTGGGCTCAATGGTAAGCTGTGGAGTTTGATTATTCTTGTAAAGCCAAACCTTCCTTTTTTCATGATCTCTAGCATCTAAAACATTTAACCTAACAGATGCAGGGTGCCTCCAGGTGGACACTAAGCCAGTGCCTCTGCCTCACCCCCTGCAGGGATGGAGGGGGCCTGCAGACCCCACAGCCTATGGTGATCAGATGCACGCAGTTACACGTAGTGGCGTTCAGTTAACCTTGTGCAATGACACAGCCTTGCTGCTTCCTCACAGTCCTGCACATGGGGTGGTTTTCACTGATGCCCATCTCTTTAGTAGCATGGGGGGGCGTCTGCATTGAGAAGGCCTTGGTGAGCGTTATATTAATGGAAACCCTGGCTGATACTTAATGAGATCACTCTTTGTGTTTTACAAAAACAAAACTCACAGCCACCAGATAGGACAGAGTAGAAGTGCCCAGGGGCATGGGGGCTCCCAGGGGCACGGGGGCTCCCAGGCCTGCACTGTGCCTGGGAGCCGGCGCCTCCTCTGTGTCTGGAAGATTCCAGCCACTGGAATCTGCCCTCATTGGCAGCCAAGGGCTTTAGCGTAAGAACTGCCATGTCTCATGATGCTGTTAGGTCCCATTGAGTCTTTTCTGAGTCACTGTGGCCCACAGAGTGAAGTGCCACAGTCGCGGGCCACCTTATGGCCACTGCACCATGTAGCACATTCTTGTAGCCACCACATCAGTCCAGGGGCTCCAGGGTCCTCTCTTTTTTGCTGACCCTCTAATTTCCCGATGTCACCCACCTGGGCCGCGCTGTTTCTCACAAAACACCCAGGGTCCCACTACCCTATCTTCTGAGGGACACCCTGACTGCACTTTTTCCAAAACAGATTTATTTGTGCTTCTGACAATCCACGATCTACTCGAAACCCAGACACGCAAGCCACCCAGACGTGATTATCATGAGGAGCTATGTGTTCGTGCAACACACACAAAACAAAATTAATAGAAAACCAAATTCTGTTGACCCCAACCCCCACTGTTCTGATTAGCTAGTCCTGCTGAAACAGAAGTAAGAATGGACGCGGTCACAGAGCTGACTCCTACAGGAACAGAAGGAACATGGACGCGTTCACAGCTGACTCTCCTGCAGCGGGACATGGGAATTGTTGTTCGGTGCCACTGAGTCGCCCACCACTCACAGCGCCCCAGTGGACACTGACTCTGAACTCTTCCTTGTCCTGCACCATGCTCACTGTCCGGGTGTGGGGAGCCCACTCCTCCACCTTGGTGAGGGTCTCCTTTCTTTGACTGGCCCTCCACCTTTCCCAGAACTGTGGTTTTTTCCTAAGGATTAGCCCTTCCTGTTGTCCAAGGAAAACATTCCAAAAGTAAGGCAGACCAGGTTTCAGCACCCCTGTCTGTAAGGAGCCCCACAGAACCTCCTACAAGTCAGAGCACCCACACAGTCAACACTCTCCTCCAACAGCTCAACTCAAAGGCTCAGGTGTCCGCTTCAGGGAAGACCCTCTTCCTGTGTTGCTTCTGGGAAGTCTCTGTTCCCTTGCTATTCCCACTTGCTGCTCCTTGAGGTCCAGCGTCAGGAGGCCAGGTGGATGCACCCTACTCCTGGTCACTGTTCTTGGCGGTTCTGAGATGCTCTGAGGTCCAGTGTCAGGAGGCCAGGCAGATGCACCCTACTCCTGGTCACTTTTCTTGGTGGTTCTGAGATGCCCACATTCAGCTCATCTTTTTTTTCTTTTTGTCTCTTCCTAGAAGCCCTCTTGCATCAGAATAGGCATAATGAGATTAAGGGTTGTGATGCCCTCAATCTTATTAAAATGATTTTATTTCTTGGGTCCTGGGAATTACTAGGTAGCTTCCACATTAGGTCTTTATATACGTGGACTTTGGGGGACACCCACTTGCTGGAGATGGATGTGTAGACTTGTGGTGTCACTACTAGCCTATCTCAGAAGTGACCAGGAATAGGGGGTGTGTTGGAGAATGAGGCTGAGCCCTTCAGAGCCTGCTAGAAGCCTAGGCTGGGTGTCTTAAACTTGTTAGGATCTTTTTGGCTGTGTAACTTTTAATTAAAACCTCAGTTTAAAGTGGATTTATGGCCATCGTTTGGGGAAATAACTTTCTGGAGATGGTTTGGGGAGGATGTGCGTGTTGTGCTTAAAAACCGCTGTATTTAGCAATCTGTGACTTTAGCAAAGTTTTAATTGCATCCTTATATGGGTTCCCTCACACCCTCTGGAATCGACTCAGTCAGCTGAGAATGAATATGTTTACACTGCCACAGACAACCGCTGCTGGTGGCGAGAACCAAGAGTGAGGAGGAACAGGGGCCCTGGTGGCACACTGGCTGGACACTGTGCTGCTGCCCAGGTACGTGGTTCACAGGCAGCCATTGGTGTCTCTACAGAGGCAGCCTGTGCTGGGGTCCCAGTGAGCTGCGTGCTCACCAAAATGCCCCTTGTCCCTCAAGGTTCAAATCCAGCAGCTGCACTTCAGCTGAGGGAGAAGCAGGCTGTGTTCTTTGCAGTTCACCGTCCTGGGATAACTGAGCTGGAAGGGTCTTGATGGTGATGCCAGGTCTGCGGATACAGATGGTAGTAATTGGAGGAAAGCTTAGTGAGTGTAACTGGGACAGAGATGCAGGTCCAGTTACAGAGAGGCCCTGCAACACAGTGGTCACGTGTCTGGCTGCTAGCCCAGAGGTCAGCAGTTTGAAGCCACCTACTCTGGGGCGGGAGAGGACCTGATGACCAACTCCTGTCAAGCCTGTGGCCTGTAAATGTTCATTAAAATTATTTTTAAAAAATCACATATGAGGTTGTGTACATATTAGAACCTGCATGGCTTCTACGCAGAGGTGAGGAGGGACGGAAGTGGGGAGAAGGGGAACAATAGCTGAACAGAGATCCTGAGAATGTCCACACGTGGGGAGCAGGGGAACCCCCACACTGCTCAACAGCTGTGTGGAAATTGTCAGACAGGATCCCAGTTGCTGGGAAGCTTCCCCAGAACACAGTGCGGGATTCTTTTTAAAAAGCCGAAGGTATTGGAACTTGTGGCTTTAAGATGATGGAGCTTTGGCTTCTGTTCCAGGTTTATGAACATCAGGATGGTAGCAAGTCGCTGAAGCTGGGTGACTTCGGGCTGGCTACGATCGTGGACGGGCCCCTGTACACCGTCTGTGGCACCCCAACATACGTGGCACCTGAGATCATTGCAGAAACCGGGTAAGCACCCCATCACCTCCATCTGCGCCCGGGTACCATGGCGCCCCCAGACCCTGTCGGTTTGGCTTTTACTTGAGGTTGTAACAGTGCAGCGTCAGCAAGCCCTGCAGAACTGGCCCCATCTGTGCTGGCTGCCCGGCCGTGACACGTGTGTCCTCCACCAGGCCTCCCACCGTGCCGGGCAGCTTCACCATGCCTCCCACCACGCCAGGCAGTTGCCTTGTCACACTAGGGTGACTAGTCAGCATGTTTGTCCGCATGTCTTCATGTCTGCCTGTCTGTTTGTCTGCATGTCGGCCTGTACGTGTGTCTGCAGACGTGGTGACAGCATGCACTATGCTAGGGGCTGTGGGCCCATGGTCATCTCGTGCAGCCCTGGAGGGCCAGAGGGCGCGGTGACAGAAGCACGGTTTGGTCCCTGCACACAGGACAGGTCAGGCTAGCAAGTGGAATCCTCTCAGCATTTACTACTGAGCCGTTTTCTGTTAGTGGTCCTGTTACTGACTCCTTCAGCCTTTGTGAAAGGGGGCCTCCCTACCACTCGGGGTGCAGAAGGGACTGGGCAGGGCTGACTCACAGAGCAGATAAAGGAAGTGGACACGGGGACCGCATGTCCCATATCCATCACACAGACTTGTCTGTCCCTGGCCCTCTGAGGTCCCTGTGATGACATGTCCTTTGGGGTCACTGAGAATGCTGGTTTTGGGGGGCAGGACGAGAGGCAGGCAGGTCTCTGCCTCAGAGATAGATGGTAGGAGAGCCTGGCCACCTGGCAGGACAGAGCAGAACCACCCCACAAGTCCACCTGGCCATTGTCCTCACTGAAGCAGGCCACCCCGCTCTCTCCTGAGGGGCTTAGAGTAGAAGATTTGAACCACAGACCTTCTAGTGACCATCTGAATACTAACCCACCACCTGCCAGTGCTTCCTACTCTTCCATCGGGAGGAAATTCTGCATTTTAAGGAACTCTCTTGGCACACTGTGTTTCACTGAGGCTGCTAATCAAGGGTCAGAGGTTCAAACCCACTAGCAACTCCCAGAGACAGACAGAAGGCAATCGCCCCATAAGGATTTACAGCCTCAGAGACCCATTGAGAGTCTGCATGAGTAGGTTCGAGTCTCTTCCCATTTCACAGATTAATAAACTGAGACCTGGGTTTAAGTGCAGGTGGTGTCAGTATTCTGGATGTCATCAGACGTCATATGGTGTCAGATGTCACAGATGGCTCAGAGCTGGCCAGGGCAGTGTGTGGACTCTGCTCAGCTGAGTAAAGTCCCCTCAGGGAGGAATTGTGTTCCTTTGCGAGGTCAGGGGTTGGGTGTGATGGGTGAAGGCATGAGGTGGTGTGTTTATGCTGTCAACACTGGGGCCCATTCCATCATTGTCATTTCCAAAGTTAGGAAGCTGACCACAATCTAGATGACTCTAGCAGCATTTTCCCCCTCAGTGGTTCTAAGCAAAAGGTCTGAAGTTAAACCACCATTATTCTGAGGGGGAGAGGCTTGGTGGTCTGCTCTGGTGAAGGCTCCAGTTCTGTCTGATTGGCACCATGTGCAGGAGGCCGGCACGCTGCCTGGCCAGGGCCGTCTCACAGCTGTCGCCCCGTCCAAGTCCACCGGTGTGCCTACGGTGCCAGTCCATTGCTTTGAGGCCTTTTGTTGAATGTCTAATTTCCAAGCCTGATGCCCTTCTCCAGAGCCTGACTCCTGCTGGTGGGTGCCCAGCTAGGAGGCACCTGACCTGTGTTTCTTCTGAGAAGTTCTGAGCATGCTTTTTCGGAAACAGAGTGATGGAAGGCCGGCTGATGTGCTCTCGTCAGGGTCCCCGCCAAAGAAACCCTGCTTTGTCACATAAGGTCACTCTGGGTCAGAACTGACTCGATGATGCCCAATAAGATGTGGTTCTTTGCGAGCAGGACAGACTCATAGCTGACCCTCCAGGGAGTTTCCACAGTTCACAGATGACGTGGGAGATTGCTCACTCTTCTCCCTCGGGGTAGATGGTGGATTTGAACAGCCTGCCTGTGGATTCAGACCCTTCCCCCTCTTTTATATTTGGACATAAACGAACCCGAGAGTAGTCACGTAGCTTTAGATGCACGGTGACACTCCAGCAGGGTGCTGTCCATCTGCAGGGAGTGGTTGCTGGGTTCAAACCTCTGACCTTTCAGTTAGGACACCAGGCCACAGTGACCAGGAATGTGTGTCAGTGGAGTGTTTATTCCTTCTTGGTTTGTCCTTCTTCCCTCGTGCTGTCTTCAGCCGTCGGGTCTTCGCTGGAGATGTGTTCTTGGTTGGTTCTGATTGGGTGCGGCATAGAACTCACCATCCTCGGTCCCGCCCTGGCTCCACTAACTCCAGTCCCGTCTCTTTTCCAGGTACGGCCTGAAGGTGGACATCTGGGCCGCAGGCGTCATCACCTACATCCTCCTGTGTGGCTTCCCCCCGTTCCGTGGGTACGGCGCCTGCTGCACACTGCCCCTCCTCTTGGGATCTTCCCCACTTAGAGCCCCAATTAGGGACCTCGGTTAGGGGCCCTGGTGGGTGTCCTCCCTCAGGGAAAAGTGTGACTCGAGCTCCACTCACAGCCCACCTTGTATGTGTTAACCCCCGCACCCTGCATGACTGGCCTCACAGAGTTTGGGGCTCAGCCTCTGCTGGTGGACCGGAACCCCATACCTCCCGCTGGCCTCTGTGCACTGAGAGGCTTGGTGGGGGCAAGGAGCTGTTCCTGAGTGGACACACACCTCAAGGTCGCTCTGTTTTCCCTACTGTCACCGATACACAGGAGTGGTGATGACCAGGAGGTGCTTTTTGACCAGATCTTGATGGGACAAGTGGACTTCCCTTCTCCATACTGGGAGAATGTCTCCGATTCTGCCAAGGTCAGCTTCTATAACTCCTGCTCCTCAGACACCCTGACTGTGCTAATAGGAATATAAATTCTGAGATGTTGTATGCTAAGAGTGAGAAACCATTCCAAGTGAGTGTCTGCACACATTATTACTAGGCATCCTGCTGGTGTAGAGAGCATTGTGCCAGGCTCCTAATGAAAAGGTCAGTGGTTTGAATCCACCAGCCAGTACGTAAAAGATGAGGCCATCTCCTCCTGTCAAGATTTAGAGACTCAGAACCCAATGTGCGGGTCACTCTGGGCCAGAACTGACCCCTCTCTCCAGTCGTGGTCTCTGGTTGTGCCTCTTGCAGCCTGAATGCACCCCACATCCACGCCCACTGTACCCCATCATCTTCCTGTCATCCGTGAATGTCCCTTTCCTGTAGAAACCTCCCTAACGTGCTGTTCAGAACCACAGCTCTTACCCTGCTGGGCAAGCACAGCTGTTGCATCCATCATGCTCTCTGTGTACCGCTCGTCGGGTCACCTGTCTGCTGACTCGGAGCCTGGTGGTCACACCTACCTGGTGGCTCCACAGGAGAAAAACCTGGAAATTTGCTCCCATAAAAGTCAGGGGGCCCAGTGGGGCAGCTTCCCCCTATCATGTGAGGTCAAAATTAACCCAGAGACGCCAAACAACAGCTACCTAGAAGGATGACATTATGTCCACCTGGTCGGACATCTAGCTAGCTGTCCTCACCCAGCAGTCCAATGTCTACATAAATGCAGTCTCAGTAGTGCAGTTAATACACTCAGATGCTAAACAAGAGGTTAGAGGTTTGAGACCACGTTGGGGAGTGTAGGAAGACATGGGGTCCAGCTCACAGTGACCCTTAGGTCAGAGTGGGTCTGCTCCAGAGGAAGGCCATAATCTACAGTGTCTCAGGGGAAACTTCGAACCATCAGCATTCTAGTTATCAGCCAAACACTTAACCACTGTACCACCAAGTCTCCACTGGCTTTTTACCAGAAAGCCCACGGCCGGCCCCTCGCTGCTTCATGAGTCGAGGTTGCAGGTTGTAAAGCTCTCTGGGAGGAGACTGCCTAGGTCTCTCCTGAGGAGCTACTGGTGGGTCAGAACCACCAACCTCAGAAGCCCGTGGGTCCAGAACACCTGGGAGGAAAGGCCTGGCTGTCTCCTCAGGAGTCTGTCTGTGGTGGCTGGGAGGAGAGGCCTGGCTGTCTCCTCAGGAGTCTGTCTGTGGTGGCTGGCACTGCCCTGACACGCAGGGGTGTCCATGTCAGAATCATACAACCACTTGTGTGAATGCCTGTCCAGAAGCAGACAGGGGTGTGGCCACAGCCTGCTAACAGCTGCCCTTCCTCCTTCAGGAGCTCATCACAATGATGCTCTTGGTGGACGTGGACCAGCGCTTCTCAGCCGTCCAGGTCCTGGAGCATCCCTGGGTCAACGTAAGTGCCTCCCTCGCCCCCAACTGCCGATACTCTTTCACAGCCTCGTGCAGGTCCCTCATGAGTCCACCCTCTCTCTGCATTTGCTGTCTGTCCCCCGTGACTGTGCCAGACAGCGGCAGGACCCCACGCCTACCACGGAGCAGGTGGTGGGCCTGTCTGGGCCCATTCTCAGCCTCACAGAGCTGCATACAGGCAGAGCAGACACGGTGCCAGGCTGCCTGTGCCCCAGACCACGCCCATCAGCTACCCTTCCAACTAAGAGCAGAGCCCACACACAACCAGGACATACAATAAGCAGTCGCCCCAAAGCAACACTCACGCTCCAAAAATAAGCAGCCCCATAACGCCTGAATGACAGGACTTACCCAAGAGAAGACTCAGAAGGCTGGGTGAAAATGGGAATCACAGGTGGGGAAGTGAGAAGTGCAAGTTACATTGTGGGCATTGTCGTTGATGTCAGCAAGTGAAACAAAGGGAACAGTTGAGTGGAAAATCAGCACAGGCTGTTGTAAAAATAGTGTGCGTGGTGTGTGACAAGGGAGGTGAGGCGTGGTGCATCGGGGCGGCCTGTGGGACTAAGGGGACACTCGCCCCTCACACATGCTCTCCTGACGGTGAGGACTCGTCCCACTGATGAGAGCTGGTGCTCACTTGGAGGGAGACGCCCCGGGCGGGTGCTCAGCTCCTCCCACTCAGGTTCAATTCCTGGAAGGGCGAAGGACGCTGGTTCTGTGATACTAGATGGGTCAGTGAAGCTTCCAGACTGACGGGGAAGACAGTTGATGAATACACTGTGGGTCACCAGCCATCATGAGGCCATCACAGGGACCCCGTAGGGCTGGCCGGCTTTCAGGCTGGAGACAGAGCAGCCGGACAAGCTGTGTACTGTTGCTGTAAGAAGCTCTGGTGGCACCATGGTTGGGCACTGACCAGAAGATTGGTGGTTCTAGCCCCGCCCTCCCAGCAGCTTCTCTGGAGATGCCTGCTGGTCTGCCCCTTGCAGCCTCAGCCTCCAAAGGTTGTGGGTCAGTTGATGTGACATGTCCAGAGACAATACTCTTCATATCGTGGGGAGAAGCTTGGAAGTGGCTGTAAGACACAAGTATTGGTCTCTCTGTCCAGAGAAAGGCAGAGGGAAGAAAATCAAAGACTCAATGAAGCATTTTGTCCAAAGTATCAATGACCATGAAAGCCAACATCCACCGTCCAGAGACCAGCATCACCGTCCGGAGACCAGGATCACTGTGCAGAGACCAGCATCACTGCCCAGAGACTAGGGTCACTGCCCGGAGACCAGGATCCACTTCCTGGGGACCAGAAGAGCAAGATGGCACCCAGCTGCCAGCAGCTGAATGCGGATACGCAAAGATCACAGTGCAGGAATTCCCACAGGGATGGGCCAGACGTGACAGCATGCAGGAGTGTGGTCGTCATCAGCAGAGCCCCCAGAACTCTGGGGCACATACAGTGCCTCTCTGCAAGGACAGGGATGGGGCAGCCTTAGGCTCAGGGACACAGGCAGGGCCACCAGCGCACACACACACACATCCCCGCAGGGCCACCAGCACACACACACACACACCCCTGCAGGGCCACCAGCATGCACACACACACACACACACACACACACACACACACCCTGCAGGGCCTTCAAGACACACACACACACACACCACCACCCCCCGACCCCCCCACAGCAACTCCACAGACAGAATGGTCCTGCCGGTGAGCTGTCTGAGACCGTGTCTTCACGGAGGCTGCCCTTTGCCTGCTGACTTCCCCCCAGCAATGACCTGGGCTGTCATGAAGAAGCTGCAAGATCGGCATTTACTTCTCCAAGTCTGTCCCACGTCTCTGCGCCGTCAGCTGAGGCAGAAGCACCAGGTCTGCTTCTCGTTGCTCAGGCAACAAACCAAGTCCATGATTCCTGCCTTGGGACAGAGGAAACCAGAGCCTCACACCATCCAAATGACCCAGCCACTCTTGGTCAGGAGCCGGGTGCCACCCCTCAGCCCCGCTGGGGAGGCTGTTCTAAGGTCCAGGCAGTGAGAGGCCGTGGACCTGCATGGAGCCAGGGCTGGACCCAGTGGCTGTGGCCACAGCCTCTCCAGACAGTGGCTGTGCACACGTGTTCCCCTGAGCCAATGGGCAGGGTGGCTGACTTCTCAGTGACCAGCTCTCTGAGGACCTGGGTGCTCAGTGGAAAGGAGGGTGTTCTGTGCAGTGGGTAGGGGTTCTGGGGTTAGCGGTGTGGCTGCTGACTGCGAGGTCTGGTGTTTGAAGCCACACAGAGCTCTCGAGGGGCCAGAGCGAGCCGAAGACCGTGGGTTTATTGTCCTGGAAGCAGCCACGTCCTTCTTCCTCTAGAGCTCCTTCTACAAGCTCCTGGAGCCCTGGGAGGCAGATAAACCGCCTTAGGATATGTCAGCACTTACTAGATGTACAGAGAAGCTCAGGGAGGGAAGGAAGGGGCGGGAGCATTCATTGCAGACAAGGCTAGCCAGTAGTAACCTGTGAAATAAGCAGTGTGAGTGTGGACCCATTCAATGTTGTGGAGACTGAGGCTATGGGAAGTGATTTGCCTAAAGTAGGCAAGCTTGTCTTCGAACCCCACTGTGCAGCCAGTCCTAGTCCAGTCACTTTCAGAGTCTCATGTGTGAACACATGGAGAAAGGGGGGTACTCTTTGCATGGAGGGGGGAGCTGAGCCCCCCTGCCTCCGGGGAGCCCCCCTGCCTCCAGGGAGCCCATGCTTAGAGCCCTCGGGGCCCTTGCACTCCTTCCCTAATGGGTCTCTGTGAGTCAAATCCACTCTGCAGGGGAGAATGGCCCCTGGGTTCCAGTCCACAGGCTGCACACACACACATGGTCCCACTTTGTGAGTAATTAGGTCTCCAGCCCCTGCTGGACCGAGTGGCTGCCCCATCTCACTTCCCTTCTCGGGTTCTCCAAACACAATTCCCAAATGTGGTATGACATTTAAGTCATCATGTGGATGTAAAATGAGAAAGGAAGGAAAAAGAAAACTCTTGCCATAATTTAAATAGACCGTCTATGGGGCAGATATGATTGCAGGGGAAATAGCTTTTTGGCATTTGATGTCTATAGTAGTTATTTTTTTATTATCTGTTTTTTCTTTTGTTAAGTTTTCCAGTGGTTTGTCAATTTTATTGACCCTTTTGAAAAACTAAACTTTTTACCTTAATTGTGGTTTTATCAAGTTTACAGAAAAGTTAGATCTTTATTCCTGCACATTTTACTCCCCCCATTCTTCTCCCTCCACAGTTCACTGTTTAAAAAAATATTCATTCATTGTTGCACATTTACCCTGCCCCCCACTCCAGTCCTCTTTGCAATTGGAACAGATGAAGGAAAGAACTGTTTAAAAGGAGTGTGTGATTAGGCATCCTACGTATGACAACAGCCCAGAATAAGAGCAGCTTTGTTTTCTTGATGTTGAGCTTTAATCCACAGTCTAGGCTGCAGCCAGTCTTTTCTTTTTCCCCTTGTTGTGTAAAGTCAGATCTGACTGGCACAGGAAGAGATTGTCCCTCCTTCTCCAGCAGAGCATCTGGTGGGTTCAAACCATGTACCTTTGGGATTGCAGCACAGCTTCTTGCCACTAGGCCACCAGAGCCCCTGATGTCCATAGTAATTAATTTTGAACATGGCCTTTGTGTCATAACTGAGTGAAGGTATCCCGATGGTGCAATGGTTAGCGAAATGGTCAGCACTTGGCACCCACCTGCTGCTCTGAGTGGAGGAGGAGGAGACAGCCTACATCTTAGGGGTTCACAGCCTCAGGGACCCTGGGGACAGTTCAGCTTTGTCCTTCAGGATCCGTAAGTATTAAAGTCTGGCCAGCAGAAGTTGGGAGAGGTAAAAAAGAAAAGAGGGCAGTCTTCCTCCTCTCAAAATAACAGGGGCATCTAGGCCTCACAGGTAGATCGACAGTGGCCAAAACAGACAAATGAGGGCTGCAAGCCCAGAATGAGACTCAGGCTGCCCCTGTGGGGTGCATGCCAATCTGTGGGACTCCCAGGCTGTCCTTATGGAAAGAGGGTGCTTATCTCTCTCCTTCCGGGCAGCTCGTGACTTTGAAATGCTGACCTCTTTGTTAGCAGCTTGGCACCATACACACTAGACATCAAGGCTCCTTAAGATTTCAAAGAGGATTTTCCATAACAAACTGTTCCTCCCTGGTATCAAGTTCCATCTGGTGTCACAGAGGGCCTTGCCCAGAGAGGAAAGTGGCCACAATTAAAGAATTACTTAGGCACAGAGTCCTCAGTGCCCTCCCCATAGTCCTGTCTCTCAGAAAGTGAGAAAGTGGTCACTTCCGCTGCTCACACAGTGGCCCTCCCCCGGCTCACATGGACCTAAAGTATGAAAGGTGGTCTCCAGGGAGTCTGGGGTCTCCCGTGCCATCATCATGGACAGGGCTGCAGTCCTCGTCCCCTGGCCAGTGCCCTGTCACTGACACACCACCATTGCAGTTAGGTGTTGAGTTGGAGCAGTCTCACGCAGCATGAAACCCCATCTGGCCCTGCTGCCTCCTTGGTGCTAGTATAGGCAGCGCCCAGCGGTGTCCTCCGCGTGTGGCTTGTGGCAAAGATCTTGTTGCTCACCTTACTTCCTGTGTGCTGGGTATGAGCTCATGCGTCCTGAATTTATTTGGAGTAATTTGAAAGATGGCTAAGGAAGAGGCAGGAGGCCACTTAGAGGACTAAGGTGTGCCTGGCCCACACCATGGTCTTCTCAGTGACCTGCGCCTTCCAGAGCCGGACAGTGAGTGGGAAAGAGTGTGAGCTCTCATTCTGCTGCCCTCTGTGTTGGTGGAGGACGTGGACTAGCCTGTGGGCTGCCAGACCAAAATGAGAAGCCACAGTGCTTCTCAGAGTGGTGCTGTGGGGACCTCATCGCAGGAGTTTTGGGTGTTAGGAGAAGAAGCCCTAGAGGTGGACTTCAAGTAAAAGGGGGCCCCATGCCGTGGACTGTACAGAAGCTGCAGCCATGGCTTAGAGGCTGTGAGGCTGCCACGGGGCCAGACAGGACGCTGTGTTAGGGACAGGGTTGCTGGCCGCTCAGGAGTGGCACAGGACTGCTGACCCCAGGACCTCCAAGGGTGCAAGGCCTGCAGCCCTGTCCATGATGATGGCATGGGAGACCCCAGACCTACGCGGGGTGCAAGCTCAGGGACCACCTTTCATACTTCAGTGTTATTGATGGGCGCTCCCTGGAGATGTCAAGGCTGAGTGACCATTTTCACTAAAAAAGAAAGTGGACAGAAGCCAGAAGCTTAACCCACAATCATCCCGCCCACAGGAGTGGTGAGCTTTCTCTTCTCGTGCCTGAGACCCCTTACAAGTTACGAGAACCCCAATATGCTGCGATACTCAATAGAGTCACCAACCGTATTGATCAGGGCCCTCATGGTGTGACAGTTAAGCACTTGGCGCTAACCCAAAGGTCAATGGTTTGAACCCACCCAGGGTCTTCTCAGGAGAAAGACCTGATCATCAGCCCCTGTAAAAGTCCATGAACCCAGACACTGCCCCCCATGACCATGGAGCTGGTCCCTACTCACAGCTGCCCTTCAGTGCTATCTGAGGGGGGAGACCACAGCCTGACTCAGAGACCCCTGCAGGGCAGGACAGGGGATGGATTTCTCCTGAGGAACCTCTGGTGGGTTCACCCCGTTCACCTTTCAGTCCACAGCGTAGGGTTGAAGGGAACCACCACAGTGGCTGCTTTTCTTACCTCCAGCAGACAGCTGCAGCTGCTCGTTTTTCTGTTTTGCAAGGGAATTTCTTTCATGTCCACTGCAATTTTCTGCCAAATTGCAGATGGGAATCTCTAAATCTAAACCTTACTAGCTCCAAACCACAGCCAGCCACATCAGACTCCAGAATGACCCCCCAAACCACAGCCAGCCACATCA